CGCCACTTTGTCCACCACAAATCCCACTTGACCTGATCCGCCATCTATGAGCCGATTGTCTAGAAAATGTGGGAGCCTCGACGTCTCACAACCCTATGGGCCTCCACGGCCTGTTACAGGGATATCTTCTTTTTTATTTTAATCTTATCCAGCAGCGAAGTTATCCTTCTGCCTAACCAATATACCGTTACGATCTACAGTCGCGTCTAGAGAAAAACATGCTGATACCGGCATAAACTGGCAGTAAGGCATGAGTTTCACGGAAGAATACAGGATGAGTTCCAGAGTTGGCAGTATAATCCATACCTCCGGGAAAAGCATCAGCTGCCCCACTGGGTATAAACCGTTCGAGGCATTGTGACGCGGGGAAATGAACAAAACTCCTAATGAAGTTAAACCCGCTCTTCCAGCCCGTACTCACACACTGTGGTGAGGGGAAATTGGCCAGGGTCACTTCTCTCCCATTCCTTGGCATTTCAAAGTTCAAGTCTCGAAACAAAGTTGAATTACTTGGCATTGACGGGAACAAACAATTCAAGGCAATTCATCCGAACGCCTGTGTGAATTTCCACAGAATACGGTACTAACATACACAAAAAGGGGAAAGATCCATCTCGCAAAGCTGTTAAATTAATTCCAGCCACAAATTTTTCAAGACTCTCGCAAATAAAATTTCGAAACCGCAGCTACGGAGTGTTCAGCGCTGTTTCATCAAGCGGTAAACTGCGCCATTATTGTCGCCAACCTCAAATGTCAAACTGAACTGGATGCAGTGAAGCCATCCGGACTGCAATGCTAAGCATGCGCGTTAAAATAGCTGCTCATTCAGCTTAGGAAGCGAGTAACCAAACTCCAAGCGTTGTTACAAAAAAAAAACACCTTCATAAAATGCGAAGAACTCTTTAACAGTCAGCCTCCATTTTTCCGCATCTCAGTCCGTAAAAAAAAAAAAAAAAGTCCTAAAGCTTTACATCACCACCTGCTTTAAACGTCACCCGTAGCAGAGCTTGATCATCATTCAGATCAGAAAGACATGACGCGAAAATTCTAGAATATTATTTCGACGTCGGGGGAACGTACTAAATTCCTTGTTGTTTATACGAGTATACATGCAGGGTGTGCTTCGATGGGGCACAAATATTTTACTATTTATGGCCTTGCCAGGGTTAAACAACAGTAAGTAATTGAAACGGGCTTTTATTCATTAGGAACATTTTTTTTTCTTGGCACTACAGCCCCAGTGGGCCTAGGCCTACCTCCATGAACTCCGTTCACTTCGGTTTTTCTAGATCTCACACATACGGTAGGACTCCTTGGGCGAGTGATCAGCTCGTCGCAAGGCCTCTACCTGTAGACAAACACAGAAAAACGCACACAAACATCCATGCCCTGAGTGGGATTCGAACCCACGATCTCGGCTTCCGAGCGAGCGAAGACAGTGCATGCCTTAGACCGCTTGGCTACCGTGACCGGCAATTATGAACATTAACCTGTAATATACAAACAACTGAAGCGAAGAACCACGATATTTTAAAGTAACTCTATTACTGAAAACGTTTCAGGTCTCTCGTGTATAAAAAGGCAGCGTAGTTAAAATCTAATTAATACTAAAGTACATGGGCATAAACGTATGGAATCTCTACAGCAGTACTTTTTTTTAATTCGCTTAGTGAGGGGTGAGCTTGGTCCACTCGGCACGACGGCCAATGATTGGCCTATTGTAGTACCTGCTCCGGGTGATTATGATGATGGAGAATTTGATAGAATGAAGATTGACTGGGGAAACCGAAGTACTCGGAGAAAACCTGCCCAAGCGCCACTTTGTCCAACACAAATCCCACTTGACCAGGCCCGGCATCGAACCCGGGCCGCCGCGTTGGGAAGCCAGCGACTAACCGCTTGAGCTATGGCGCGGCCCAGGTCTGCAGTAACAACTCAATTAAAATCCAGGTCCTTTTCCGTTGATTTCATTCTCTATTAATCAGCTCTCTCAAGTTATTTTTCTAATTTAAAGAACCCTTCTCTTAATATATTTCCATGGTAGCGTAAAATTCTATCGTTGAAACGTCACTGATCATAGCTTTAATTGTAGGCGTACAGCCACACACATTTCGCCCATTATCAAGCAACGAATAGCCTAAATGTAGAGCAAAATGCCAAGTCTCCAAACGAGATATCTCGTGTGTAGCATCGAAACGATTAAACAAAAATGAAACGCTGGCAAACTGGATGTGTATAAAACAGCGCAGTCGATTTGCCGCTATAATTGAATCATGTATGGCGGCCATCAGATTTCTTGTCCGTGACCTCACAGTTTTAAGTGGCTTTGTAGATCAATACTACAACGCATGATATGGCTAGAGCTCCCAATTTCTGAACGTGTAGCCTGTTGCAAGCTCGATAAATATGTCGGCTATACTTACCGGCAAAAGCCTACTCTGACAGTGCAGTTCTACCAGGGGTTTCTGTGGGCTGGGACGGCTTGCCAGATAGAACGCTGACGCCGCTGCAACTCCAGTAAGGGCCAGTGCCCCTGCAGGGCCCCCTATGTAACCCAGATATTGGTCCATCTCTTCAACTGAAATCAAGCAAAATGAAATACAGTAAAACTTGGTTATAGCAACATCGGTTTCTGCGACACCTTGTCTATTGCGTCAAATATTCAATGGTATGAACTAATTCCTCATAAAGCAACTGTTTTTATACCTTGCTTAGTACGACATGCACAAAGGCATCAACCTCGTATGTAACGTCATTTTCATTCCTGAATTTCTCTGATATGNATTTTTACGTGACTAACATAAGGCTACTGTGGAAGTGCCCATTTCGGTTACAACGACATTCGTTTATAACGACACTATTTTTAGGTCCCTTTGATGACGTTATAACCAAGTTCTACTGTATTACAATCTTACATATCACAATTCATGTCACTTACATACACATTTGCTCTTGTAAGATTTGAGGCTTTCACGGCGGTGACTATGAAGAAAGCAGTCTTCTGGGATTTGGCACCGTGTATATGTGGTGTTAACCAACGTTTCGGAGGAACGTATCGCCTCCATCTTCAGGGTAGAAGGAAAAATATAAGAAATCCGCAAGTGAAGAGACCGTGAAAACCGGTTCGATACGTTCCTCCGAAACGTCGGTTAACACCACATATATACGGTGCCAAATCCCAGAAGACTGCTTTCTTCACATGTGCTCTTGTTTCGTGTGCCAGACATGCGTGTGGGCATTGTCTCAACTTCATTCGCCGTTGAAACAATATATTGGCTAACAAAGCAAAAATTAAAGGGGTGTATAGATTAGCCAGCAGACCACACTGGCCGCGCGGTCTAGGGCATGAACCGTCTTCACCCGCTCGAACACTGGGATCGTGGGTTTGAATCTCATTCGAGGCATGGATGTCTGTGTGTAGGCAGTGGGATTGCGACGGGCTGATCCCCCTACAGACTGTGTATAGAATAAGAAACTGAAGAATCGGCCAACATCCACATGGGCTGTAGAGCCACAGTCAGATTACTCAAGTAGATTCGTTTAGTTTCTTTACAGAGCTTTCTTCAGACACAACACAGCTCACATTGCAACTTAGATCCTTCTTACGCGCAATCCAGTGATCACACTAAAATGTCGGACAATGCTGGAGGGCCGGAGTAAGATTTTTCTCTTCTCCACAGAGTCCAAACCGGAACTGAGGTCCACCCAGCTTCCTATCCAATGGGTACGGGCTCTTCCCCCGTGTGTCAAGTGACAGGGATGTCAAGCTGACAACTCACCTGTATGTAGTGCCAGGTCAAGAATGGTGGGTCCATATCTCAGGTCCCCCATACGTCTTCATGGCATAGTGCTTAAGTAATTAGGCACTGGAACAACTTTACTAACTTCACGTATACATAGACACACATACAGATGTACGGAAACAAATAAAGCTGATATAACCTGGTGTTCGGTGCAGGACCTGAAGATTCACTCGCCAATATTTCGCTTGCACGTGTGTTTGTGCGCCCAGAACCGGTTTCCAATATAACTACGGAGCCAAATACTGGTATTACGGCTACAAGAATGACCTTCGATCTGTGTATGAACTTTTTGTATAATTATGATCCAATCTCTAAATTTAGATTGACAGAGAAACATGCATCATAATGCCGGCGAACAAATCTACACAGTTGGATTTCAGTTCCTCGTAACGGTGACTATGAAGATTTCTATCTTATGCGAAATAGCGCCGTGTAGTCAATTTGGTCGATATTTCAGAGGAAATATCGACTCCATTTTCAGGGTCGAAATGTAAGCAAAGCAAGAAGCCAACATTTATCAGACATCAAGCTCTGCAAAGGGTTCTCCGGACTGCACTGCGTTATATCCTCAATTGATTTTCAAACAGAAGATGATTCAGGTCATCAGGGACTTGCAAAGTGGAACGGTATTATTGTTACTGCGTGGGTTTGCACTATTACCAGGCGAAACTTCGTCCGGTGTACAGTTTACAGAATGCACACGTGTCAACACTTAGCCGAGTAAAGTCTCCACTTAAGGAAGACCTTTATCTGGGAGCAAGCGCTGTACTTCCGTGTAGGTGGTCTCGTGTTTGAAACCGGCTGATTTATTGTGAATTCTTCTCGGGGCATTTCCCTTCCCTGACCTCCTGGCCACACTACGGGGCATTCCGCGTATTTGTTCGGATTCCACGTTAAATTACTGATTCCGTCTGACCTTGAGCATGAACACTATCACCATCATTTTCCATGTCATACTGTCATCGGGAACCAGACGGAAATATCGATGCAGTCTCTCCCATATAAACTTTATTCTTGAAGGCCGGCAGAGGCCTCTCCACATGGAAGCATTGGTCACCACACAAAATTTCATTTACAGACAACTCACATCGCCCCGATAATTTCACGTCTTGCATGGCCTATGTATGTCATGATATACATAAAATGATGGAAAGAAGTGGCCGGACAGAAAATGTAAAAACAAGACGTAGTCATGTAGTATTTGATTTTCTCACAGCGGCTGTTAAGAAGAAAACTATCTTTTGGGATATGCCGCGCCATAGCTCAAGCGGTTAGTCGCTGGCTTCCCACCGCGGCGGCCCGGGTTCTATCCTGGGTCTGGCCAAGTGGGATTTGTGGTGGACAAAGTGGCGCTGGGGCAGGTTCTCTCCGAGTACTTCGGTTTCCCCTGACAATCTTCATTCCACCAATTGCTCCACAATCACCCTCACCTATCATCTGGGGCTGGTACAATACGCCAGAAGTGGCCGCAGTACAAGGCACTTAGTCCCACCCCACTAACAATAAAAAATCTTTCGGGATATAATGCCGTATCATCATCATCATCTGAGCCACAGCCTTCCCCACAAGATTATGCCAGATTGCATCCCATTTTCACTTCTTTGGATTTCCCAAGATGTGTTTGGAGTAGATACTTCCATGGTAACGCAATAACAGTGGGCCGTTGCGTAGGAATTGCAGAATCAACAAACGCGTTTCCCCAGAGATGGAAGGCTCACTGCGTAGCAACGGCCGCGTATATATAATGGGGTTAATGAATTCGCCGAGTGAGTCTTGATATAGTCGCGGTTGAAGACAGCTGAAGTCCAGCATTCGCCGAGACATAGTCGAACAGCGATTGAGATACTGGATTGTATAAGATTAAGATTAATTATGATATGGTGAACTGTATAACTGTAAAAGCGAAAGAGAGTAAATATTCGCTACTTTCCTGAACGGCGTGAAGTTATTTGTCGCGTGAAATACCCAACACGTGACAATATTTTTTTACAGAGCAAGGTCGTCAGCCTTGCGTCCAACTTCCAACCTGAAGCACCAGATATCTGAATTTGTCCCCAGTGGCAGGGTGGACCAGGTATACCCCCCAGGTACCGGGTTCCCTTTTCATGACCTTCTAAAGGCGCGTCCACATTACTCGTACTCGTCGGGAGACTCGTCTGGCTTTCACTTGTACCCGTAAATCTTCGTCCACACTACTTCAGTTGCTCGCCTGGCTTCGGCTCGTGAGGATCCGTATATTTACTCGTAGTGTGTATAGGCTGTAGCCGTATTTAAATTTATTGGCTATAGTTTTTAAATTAAAAATTAAAAATTTGCTTGTCACATCGTCCACATTACTCGCGAGCATAGCGAGTCACACGAGGACGAGTAATGTGGACACGCCTTAAGACACACGTCTACGGTGGGGGTATTGTAACCCGCCTCCACACGGGACATAACGCCGTAGTCTGTCGAAATTCAACGAGCGTTCTGGAGGAACATGTGCCTCTATCTTCAGGGTAGAAGAATAACAGACACAAGAAGCAAGCGGAGCAATCGGTTTTCACTTAATATCAGAACATTTGCACAAATTCTACTCTTGCACGCAATCTAACGCTTGCTCCAGTGAGGTCAGAGAATCATCTACGATCTCGGCCCCGAACGCTGCCACCATTTTGCCAAATTGTAACGGGGATTTTTAAGAGAGTCATAAATCCTGTCCCGACCCTTCCTGCCCGCCTCACCCCCCGGCAGATGATCTCAAACTGCCAGTAGTGAGCCTCAGAACCAAAGTAGGTTTACTGCACAAGTAACCACTTTGTCCACGAAACGGACTTTGTTTCGTGGACGATCTGTCGTTACAGGTCGTCCATATTTGTTTCTTTTTCACGGTTTAACTAGTGAAGCGAATTTCATGAAACTGAGTAAGTCATACTGACAGGAAGACCCCGATGTAGCATTTCATATTTGAGACTTTTTTGATCCGCCTAATTCCAAGACTGACACTAAGACAGGCTGTGACAAAGATATATCCTGTGATATGCAGCACAAGTCAGATCTATATATGACGAATTTATAGGAGAAATCGCATCTCTATCAGGATAATTATCGTGATAAATGTACAGTATTTCAGTCATACAGGCAGAGACCTAGGAAAATTAAAGCCTCTCGTGTTTCACATTTTCAAAAGGACGAAAGAGGCGCCGAGACGTCCAGGCTCGGAATGTTTTTATTATTCACACCACCGTCGGCTTCAAGCAGACTCAGATCTAAAGATACCCATTGTCCGCTTTTCTGTGAAGATATTTCAGCGTGTGTAAACATACATCTGGAAACAGATGTTTTGGAAAAGTGGCACAGTTCACATATTTGGGAACAACGATAACAGACCGAAACCTGATGCAGGAAGAAATTAAGAGGAGATTGGACTCGGGTAATGCTTGCTACCATTAAGTCCAGAAACTTTTGTCTTCTCGCCTGCTATCCAAAAACATAAAAATTAGAATATACAAAATTATTATTTTGCCTGTGGTTCTGTATGGGTGTGAAACTTGGTCTCTGACATTAAGGGAGGAACATAGACTGAAGGTAGTTGAGAACAGGGTGTTGAGAATATTTGGGCCCAAGAGGGATGAAATGACAGCAGGTTTGAGAAAACTGCATAATGAGGAGCTTCATAACTTGTACTCTTCTCCAAGTATAATTAGAATGATCAAGTCAAGGAGGATGAGGTGAGCAGGTCATGTAGCACGAATGGGGGAGACGAGGAATGTGTATAGGATATTGGTGGGAAAGC